TAACACATTATGAAAAGAATGAAAAATAAATTAAAAAATTGTAAATATTTCTGATTTCTATTTATCATCAGTTTATAAATTTTGGACCTTATCCTTAGCGCTAAAAGTGCTTAAGTCACAAAATACCCATATGAGATAAGACAGTTTTATCAGATAAGGTCGCAGTTTAGATTGATTTTGACATAAATTTGACTTAAGTACTTTTAGCAAAAGGGGTCTTGAATTTATTCCTTCATTTATTTCAATAATGGTTGTTTTATTCTCTTCAAAAGATATTGTTTTTAAAAATGTTGTTGTTATTGTAAATATTTTCATCATTCATTTCAAACAACGCTAAATCTTGTCTCTAATGGGGAAAAATGTCGTTAGACCCATTACAAGTGGAAACATGTTTCATTGTTTCTTTTGTTTCGTTTCGTTTTGTGAATTTTTTTGATTGGTTATATATTTTTTTTTTAAATATGGAATATGTGCCTCTGGAAAAAAAAGAGTTAATAACAAAACGTATAAATATTGTTTCGCTTTTTAAAAAAAAAAAAAAAGAATAATTAACTGGCATTATTAATTAATGATTTAAATATTGGATAAATTTTTTTTTTTTTTTTTTTTTTTTTTTTTTTTTTTGAATTTTTTTTATTTGTTATATATTTTTTTTTTAAATATGGAATATGTGCCTCTGGAAAAAAAAGAGTTAATAACAAAACGTATAAATATTGTTTCGCTTTTTAAAAAAAAAAAAAAAAGAATAATTAACTGGCATTATTAATTAATGATTTAAATATTGGATAACATTTTTTACCGTTATTTTCTTTTTTACAATAAAATGTTACTTCCTTTATAGATAGTATTTTTAAAAAGGCAAACATAAGTAAAAAAAATCGTATATTAGGCTGCAGTCGGATGTATGCTGTGTGTTTTAAAGTGCAAGACCAAGACTCAGTCTGCAGGAGTGAACTGTTTCTGTGTTAAGAGATTGTCGATCATCTGTTCACATATATATCTGGTAACCTGTATCTGATGACCTTGAGGAAGTCATGTGATCGATCTCATAATCCCGATAAGATCATCTGAGATCTTCACCTTGATTATCTTTCTTTTTTTTTTTTTTAAATCACCTATATTGTTTCTGGGGCAGTTCCTAAATAATGTTATCTGACCTCATTGTCGATAGTATCTAAGAAACAATCAGTCGTGGTTGACCTATCCCCAGCCACGTTCACAGTATCACAGCATATGCGATGATTAAGCTGGTCATGGTCGAGTGCGACTGACGAACTATATCTACTTAACAGACCAGTTACTTCGACCTACGCCTTACCGCCTTCTTCTTCATTAGCAACTAAAGTTGTTGGGTTTTTTTTTTAGGTATCCATTAAGATTTTTACATATTGATCGTAATTCATTTTTCTTTATAATTTTCATATGCTATAAGTTGCAATATTAAAAAAAATTAATTTAATTATATAAAAAGGTAAATAAATAAATATATTTATATAATTTTTACAATATATATATATAAGAAAAGCCTTTCTTTCTATCCGTCCGCAATGCTCAGGGCCAGCGGGAAAACCAGATTTGTTGCGTTACAATTAAGTAAACGACACTGAATGGTGCCAGCGGAAATACGATATAATTAGCCTCATAGAAACAAATGCAATCGAAGGTTGGCGACTACTTTTTTTGTATAAATGACAGTTTCAGTCAAGCAAGTGTTGAGACCAATAAGATAAATTACCTGTGAGATGGATTTTTTTTATTGTAACTGAAATAGAAATCTGGCTTCTCACAACGGCACCAAAGATTCGCTAAGGAAAAAAAAATCACACAGATTTCGTGAGTTTGTGAAATTTTGTTGGTACCTTTTGTTGAATGATCGCATGGTAACAGAACCTTTAAAACTTTGATTTACACAGCGTTGCAAACTTTCGTAAAGTTATGTCTTTATCGGAATTGTGGGGGTATGGGTGGGGATGGGGTAGGGGAGTGAAAAAAGCCAGGGCGCTGAAGGCTCCCGAGCGAAAGTAACGGGGGTGGTCTGGGCAGGGGGGAGCTCACTGTGGTTCTGTGTTTCCGTGGGTTTCCCACGGGCTATCTCTAGTTATGACATATTGAACGTCTAGAGTGTACATGGACAGACAAGACTGGATTGATTTATTTCCTGCATGTTCTGCAAGCCTCTACTTGGAATTCTGATCCGCGGCGTTCGGGGGGGGGGGGAGGGGGGTTGACCTCAATCGTTTTGTCTCGATTAAAACATTTGACTCATTGGTCATGTTGTATCAGTCGAGCAGTCTGAGTGGTAAATAAGCAAGGCGGCCATGGTCTCCAGTGACAGGAAGCAATGCCGACAAGACTCTAGTTCCACAACTTCCATCATGGGTCCGGTAAATAAATTAGCGTGAAATCCACGGCAAAACTAATACGTTTAGTACAAATATAAAGACTGTATATTGTTATATATATATATATATATATTGGTAATATATTTATATATTTATATATATATATATATATATATATATATATATATATATATTACATAA